CTTTTAAGTGTCGATGGTTCTTCTTCTTCCACTGATCCTCGAGCTCCTCGTTTGTGTTTTCCTCCTAATTTCTGCATTTAATACTTCAGCAAGTGATTAATCGTTGAATTATTATGTCCAGGCGGTATAAAGTTCTCTAGAATTGGCGTAAAGGGACAGAAACTACGCTCCTCACAAAACGTGCCACCGCACACCGACCCCACGCATGCTCTCATGATGATGATGATAAAGGCAGCATTTCTTTGGCATCTGCTGGGTTTTGCACTGGACGTCTTTTCAACTGGTGGACTTCTCAAGGTTTTTGCGACCAATTTTGGAGTGCGTTTCTTCTCATCCCTTTTTCCAAGATGGAAGAATGGAGTACGTTGGTCATCATTCAAGTACTCTACGTCACTGTAAATATGCAAAGTTTATATATATATTTTAAATTGTTGCGTACCACTCACGAAAAACTTGTTTTACAAGAGCAGTGACTAGGAACCAGTCCCCATTCTATATATCATAAATATAGCCCGACTTTTGAAAACGTTACCGGGAAAAAGGATTTTTTTCTCCTGCAAAGTAGCCATTATAAAAAACTAAGAGTAGAACCATTACTTTTTTCTCTTTTCCTTCTTTATTCCCCCTCGCTCTTCTTTCGTCTCCTTTCTTTCTCCTTCGTTAGCTTGTGATTTCAGAGCTTATCGGACCCAAAAACCTGCCTTTTCACGCCTTTTCACTCAAATAACTGCAAATTTCATTAGGTTGGTTTTCCAAATATCGGCTAAAAATAAGAACCTATTAAAAACCAAGTGTTGTGAACAAAATGAAAAATTTTGATGTTTTTCTCCCCGTTTTCTTTGTTGAATGGATTGTTGGTGGCTGCACGTTGGTTCAAGAATTTCCCATTTAAAAAAGGAAATGTGGGGGTCGCATTCTGGATACCCCTTTACGAACATAAAAACAGAAGAATGTATAGTGTACATTTGCCATAAAATCATAAAGAAAGCCAAGAACAACATGATTTTGGTCACGTACATCCAGTACATCTGGCATGGTACCTGGAGAAAATGTAATAATCCCTGCTCTTTTAATTTAATTGGTCGAAAAGAATATCCTTGACAAGTTACTGACCTTTCTCTGTCATTAAACAATACTTTCCGACACCTGAATAACAAGAACGTTAAAAGGGCTCCAGTAAGTCCAAGTTGAAATACAATTGGCAGCTATGGGATCCTCTAGAGCCTTGGTGACAAGTAAGCAGTAATAATTTATAGCCCTCTTTAATCACACTTAGTACCGAGCTAGGGGACCGTATTTCCTCCCATGCTGAAAAAAGAGATTTTAACCTCCCCTCCTCCACACTGCAGCCAGCGTCTCAACATCCAACAGTTGCATTCTTCGGAAGATGTCTTGGAAGTTTTGCCCCAGGAATGTCATCTTCTGTTAGCCAAACAGAAGCCAAAATGTTCCGCCATATTGAACAAAAATAATAGTTGTCCTTCCAATATGGGCCCGCGTTACAACTGGCCCATGATAGAGCAAAAGACTACGTGATTTTGAAAAACAGCTACATTGTTATGGTATAATTCATCCAACAGAAAAATACAAAAAAACACTCCTTCAAATCAACTAATTTAATTAACTATACTTCAAGTGATAACTACAACTTGGGAGCGATTCTCACACAATACAACCTTAGTATAAACTACTTAGAGCCTATTATTAACCTTCAGTCGCCACTGACACAAACTCACAGTAGACACTGCTATCACCAAACGTCCTGGACCCACTTGAGATGTCTTAACTTCAAAGTACTCTTCAGCAAACTGCTATAACTCTCCCAGCATAGCTTCTCCTATCAATCTCTGCCGTAACAACAATAACTAACTCAAAGCTCGCTAAGCCCTTATATATAGTCATTTCATGTTCTAGATAGTTCTAAGAGCTTAAAAGACTACTATTCTTGTAACATTACATCGTGAGTTCCATCATTCATCAGAATATCCTAGACAGTTCTACTGCGTGACAATAGAAAGTTCAAGTACAAACATCGCGTGACTGGAAAACTCCAGAAGCTTGTTATTTACAGTAGCTCTCCATAGCAATATGAAAAGGTTTTAATGTTTTTGTTATTTCCTCTGGCAGTGAAATTAGAGAACGTAACTTGGATCAGAATTGTTGCAAATCAAACCCTAAGATTCCCTGAAAACGTTTGTGTCCTTCCTGCCATCATCATGTTACATGTACTTTAGTAGATGGCTTTAAACAAGGACTTGTTCTCGATCCAAGCCAGTATGGCGCTGTGCCGAAGTCCTCCACAACTCAAGCACTTATACACATGCTTCACCATTGGACCAAGGGATGCGATGGCAATGGAGCAACTGTTAGGGTTACACTCTATGATTATAAGAAAGCTTTTGATCTCATAGACCATAGGATTCTTGTTAATAAGTTGTGCAAATTAGATCTGCCGACTGAAATAATCAATTGGATCATAGATTTCCTAAGTGATAGTTCCCAGAGAATCAAACTCTCAGAGGGATGTTACTCCGAGTGGGGATCAGTCCCATCCGGGTACCCCAGGGGACGAAACTAGGCCTGTGGTTGTTTTTGGTGCTCATCAACGATCTAGAAATCAATAATGCAGGCAATATCTGGAAGTATGTTGATGATACAACTACATCTGAGATCGTTGTGACAGGAGCCAGTAGCAATTCCCAATTGATTGCAGATACTGTCGTGCAGTGGTCTTTTGAGAATAAAGTAAAACTAAACAGTGAAAAATGTAACGAGCTTAGGATTTCATTTGCAAAGAACAAACCACAACTCGCGCCTATACTAGTAAATAATCAAGAGCTAGAATGTGTTGAAAGCGCCAAATTACTAGGTGTTACGATCTCCAACAACCTTACATGGAATATGCACATTGATCAACTCATAAAGAAAGCTTCTAAATGTACGTATTTCCTAATACAATTGAAAAGGGCTAATGTCGCAAGGCATGAATTAATTCTTTTTTATACATTTTGTATAAGGTCAGTCATGACCTACGCATGGCGTGCGTTTTTCTACGCCCTGCCATTGTATTTAAAGAAAGATCTAGAGAATGTAGAGAAACGGGCACAATCAATCATTTGCCCGGGACTGGCCTATAGAAAGGCCTTAGAGCTTTCAAACATTATGTCTGTCAATGACTACATCGCTAGCCTATGTAAAAAGACCTTCCTCTCGATTGCTAATGACCCGGCATATCGCTTACATACAATGCTTCAATCGTCAGGGCCGTCATGTTATAATCTTCGGTGCAAAAGGCGTTTTGCGATTCCCAAATGTAAGACCGAGCGTTTCAAAAATAGTTTTTTAGTAAGATCATGTATCGATAACGTATATATCTTAACAGTTTTAAGCTTTTTTATATTTTTAGGATGTTATTTATTTAGGACTTTATCATTATCATTTTATTAGACTCACTATTGTAAGATTTTGTTATATTATATTTTATATAATAAAGTCAGTAATTCATGCATTTTGATTGATCCTTACTTATGATCTATTAGAGGACAGATGCACGATTAATGTCATCAGCCGAAGGAAAAAAATTTTTTTTTCAAAATGGCGGAAAATTTTGAAACTTTGGAAAATATTTTGTCGGACTGGGCGAACGAGGAGATAGAAATAACTCTTGTCGGGGCTGTTGATAAATTCCAAAAGAAAGAAAAAGAAAAGACACGTTTCTACGTGGAGAATGACTTGGAAAAAATTCTGGAGCAATCTCAGTCGCTCGCGACAAAACGAAACACAAAATGGGTCGTAAAATTATTTCAAGGTAACAACCAATTTTTTTGCTTCGCATTTAAGTACCACAAAAAGCAGAAATTTAAAGAAATTGATTTATTAAACAATTCCAGCACTATACAATCTCAAAATAATTGTTTACACAGATTGGTGTCAAGCAAGAAGCATCACAACACCTCTCCTTAAAATGAATACAGCAGAATTAGACTTAAACCTAGCAAGGTATTACGTCGAAGCGAGAACGAAAAAAGGTGAAGAATACAGTCGCTCAGCACTTCTTGGTTTTCGGAATTCAATTGAAAGATACCTAAACAACGATGGCTGTACAGTGAAAATTTCAAGGAACCAAGTGTTTCAAAAGAGTAACAAAATTCTGGATGTGAAGCTACGAATCAACCGCCGCGCCGGCAAGGAAAACGTTCAACATAAACCAGTTATTGTACCTTCAGACCTCGCAAAGACAAGAGCCAGCCCTTTCCTCAGTGTCACAAATCCAGCCGTATTGCTAAGGAGAACGTGGTTTTACGTTTCTCTGTACTGGTGCAGGCATGGAAGGGAGGGACAGCGAGATCTTCGCCGCGACAGTTTCAAGTTCACCAAAGATGCAAACGGCTGGGAGTACGCAGTTATGACCCACAAAGAAGCTACAAAAAACCATCCTGGTTGTGAAACCAGCAAGCCCTCAGCTGAACGAGAAACAAGGCTTTACAGCACTGGAGCAGACTAGGATGCGTTTGCCAGTCTCAAATTGTACGTGTCCAAGTTGAATCCCTCCTGCCCAGCGTTCTTTCAAAAACCAAAGCCAAGATTCACCACAAAAGACATTGTGTGGTATGAAAACAGCCCACTTGGTGTGAACAAGCTGGGAGACATGATGAAGATCATTTCCAAAGGAGCGAATCTCTCTCAAGTGTACACCAATCATTCCGTCCGGGCTTCAGCAATAACTGTGCTTTCAGATGGGAATGTACCGGACCGCCATATAATGTTCGTCTCCGGGCATAGCAGCGAGCAAAGCCTGTCACACTACAGCGCCAGGCCATCGGCACCTCAGCTGGAAAGTGTATCCGACACAATCTCCAATGCTCTTCAGTACAACCAAACTCAAAGCACACAAATTTCTACCGTTTCCAGCACTCCATCAGCTACACCATTAATTGAAAGCTCGAATCGCATGGCTCCCAGTGTGTCAATGTCGTCCTCATCAGCAAGCTTCCCGAGCGGTTTTTTCAACAACTGCAATATTCAAGGCGATGTGCAAGTGTTCTTCGGGCTTCAGAGCCACTCTGATGAGGAAAACTGACTAGATTTTAGCAGTATTTTGTAACACATTTCAAGATTTCCGAATCGAATTTGAGCTTTCGCTGTGATGTTTTGTTCCACGAGAGGCGAACTTCTCGATTAAGTTTTGACAGTGGCGTGATTTCCTTAGCCAATCACAATTCGTTGCTGCACCCAGCAACCAATCAGTTTCCTTCATCTTGTATAAATAACAAATGACGTCAAATCACTTTTTTCGCGGTTGGAAAAACCCATCACGGTCCTGCTTTGTATCTTCTTTCGAAATAAAAACGCTTTTATTAATTTTTGTTTCTTTATTATATAAAACAAATAGATTCCATTTGGCTGTGCATCTGTTCAGTTATAGATCACAGAAAACGTCAAAATGTGGTAAGAACATCAGTGACCCACTCACCTATCGGCTCGTGGGCCACGTTTCTGTTCTTACCACATTTTGACGTCATCTGTGATCTATAACTGAACAGACGCACGGCCAAATGGAATCTATTTGTTAAATATATTATATTGTAAATACACAATTAAGCTTAGTAGCTGCAAGCTTTTTACAAATAAACTATCTATCCATCTATCTATCTTAAATCTGGTTGGAGTGAAATAATGCATGTAAAGTATTTACTTCCAGAAATTCAATTTAACTTGTAAACGTTACAGTAAAAAAGACAAAACCCAACAACAATATCAACATGACTTTATCACCCCCCCAAGTTGACAGTAGAGACCTTACACAACAGGATAGTTGGGTTACTTCTGATCGCACCAGGACTAGGTCAGGCACACAATCAATGATGGTGCAGTTTTTAAACCTTGTGCAATTGACTTCTTTTTGTGACCTCAAAGTTGCCAACATGACCATTTTTAGGAAAGCCTGTTAGGCGCTTCTTCTTTGCCATGGCATGGATTTTGTAGATGATGAAGAGCTTAAACTGCTCTACGATGAAGAAGTAAAATAATCTGGAAGTTCCCTATATGGCAATTTTGATTTAAATACACTGTCATAGCAAATTTCGTTTTTATAACAATGACATCTACAGACTACTAGACATTTACTCGTTTTCAACATACATGTAATATTGAAGCCCTTTGTATCTCGTTGAAGTCGTGCGCTTATCCCTGGTTGTACATCAAATTTACCAGTGAGGTTTGGCAGAGCTGTCCCGCAAATAAGTATAGTGTCAAACCATACAATGGATATTGCCTACGATCAATACAATCATTTCCTGCACTTTTTACCAAACTTTGCTTTCCCTGGCGAGAAAGAGAAATAGGCATAGGCAGTAGATCAGAAAAGTGATTCTTTAGACAATTATTAGAGTTTTATTCATGGGACTCTATGGCCAGTGTGCAGGCCAGGAAAAAATCAATGTGTTATTTACTATGGCCATACGAGGGTTCTCACCCCAAAAATTTAGTGCTGTGGTCTCAAATGGTTTGATGGTAATCATGAATAGACGTAACGAAAGTAGAAGGCATGATAGTGGGATGTTGGCATGTTCAGGGTTACTACCATTGGTGCAAGTGCACAGCCAGTTAGGACCCTTTAAAGGTGCAAATAAAACAGTCATGCAGTAAGTTTGCAACAGGTGAAGAAAGCTTGAGTAGCTGTCGAGTGGGTTTTTTAGGACATGTTTAACTACTTTAGTCGCTGACTTTTATTGGCCATAGTGCTGTTAGGCCAACTCCAGGAAAGCCTGTTGGATACTGTGGCCTATGGTTTTCACCAGTTTCCTGATGATTCAATGTTTAATAGCAATTACCCAGCCAAATCACTATTTGTGTACTGACCGATACCCTATATCACCTTAAGGATTGTGGCAAACTACTAGAAATCCCTCTCTGTAAATGCCATTGCAGGAATGTCGGATTCACGAGGTTTAAGATTATTGTTATTTGTGCATGATCTTGAAGTATCTAAACCTGATAGTGATGTTGTGTATGTTAGGGCTTTGTGTTGGGGCTTCCTACAAAAAATTGACAAGAGGAAAGTCTTAACAACTAGGAGTGGTTTGATCATACATTTTAAGGAAAATCAGTATCCAAATGATGCAGAGTGGCGTTAACACATAAAGACGTTTCAGGTTTAAGTCAAGGTGTGCAAACAAAATCCATGAAACGTACCATTTCTCAGTATGTAGACAATATGGAAAAAAGATGGTCACAAAGGACTGGAAGTCGAAACATTTGGATTTTTACTTTCTAAAAGCCATGGATAATCATATTTAGGGGCCTTACGTGATGGACTTGTCACTGTTCAAAGCGGTGAGAACCCCTTAGGGCTGGCTGAGGTAAAGATTGCGCTAGTAAGACAAAGGATTTGTAACAAAGATGACATCATTAAGAAGAGCCATCAGTTTAGGGCCTGTTTATATGGAAGTGGGGGACCCCAGGTAGGTGAGGTAAAAAAACAACCCTCCTTTACATGCAATCTTACAACCTCACCATCCCGGGGTGCACTTTCTCAAGATTATTGAATGGTCGCTAAGCACGTAAACAAGAAAAATGCTGGCAAACCACGTGATTTGGCGATTAATGCACTTTTACACTCCCTTGTTGCTCTTGCTGCAACCTTCACTGAGATGGCTTTCTATTGTTAACTTTAATAATGATATAAAGCCACCGCCAAAGTGAATTTTGCGTGAATTTGATGTATCACGAGTCCGACCCCGGCCAGGCGGGTTACCCCGCCTTGAAACGTTTACATGGCAAAATTGACCCCGGCTGAGACCGGGCTACCCGCCTTGGCGGGTCACCCCACCTATCATGTAATCGTGATCAAATTAAAATGAGAGAATATATGGACTGGCGGGTTACCCCACCTAAGCGGGTTACCTCACCTACGTGGGGTCCCCCACCTCCATGTAAACAGGCCCTTAGTGTCAAATTTAACAACAAGTATTTGTTGCAGAGAGAACTTGGTGTGATCTTGTAGTCTGAGAGAGCAAAAAGAATTACACCAGCAATGATTACCTTTTAATATGGCATGGTGGAAGAAGACGTTTAGCCTGCAGAGGCAGAGCAGGTGTTTTTAATGGAAAGTAAGAGGTACATTGATCACGGCCACCATCTCAAAGGCCAAAAAAAAAAAGATTAAGGAAGAAGGGACAGAAGAGGGATGGGGAGGAGAGAAGAAAAACTGCCTTCCAGGAAAGCCAATGAAATTACTGAAAGCCCCCTAATTAGTACGGCCTATACAATACAATTCAATACAATACAATACAATCTTCTTGTTAAATTTGCAGACGACATAACTGTTAGCTTGCCGATTGAGGCAAATGTAGGCCTAGATGAGTCTGAAGCGGAAGTCCTATCCTTTATTGAATGGTCCGAGAACAACTGCATGAAAGTTATTTGACAAAAACATGGGAGCTGCTTTTATGAGGGAAGACTACCAGGACGCCTCCTGAACCACTCGAGATCATAGGGAGGAAAGAAAAACTGAAACAGTTGGCCGTTACCTATGAGAAAGTGCCAGTGAATTGGGACACTCATATTGATTATTTTCTTAGTAAGGCTAGCGGTAGGTTATATATTATAAGAATATGCAAATATTATGGCTACTCTATTGAGAATTTGGACTTACGTTTTCAAAGTTTGATCCTTTTAGTGTTCACATATGCTATTGAGGTCTGGGGGTGCGCTCTTTATAGTAAATAGTTAAGTAGAATTGATAAGCTCTTTGCCAGGTACTATAAGTTTGGCTACTGCTTTAAGCAGGACATTCCTCGTAATAGAGATATAAAGTTATGGCAAAGGATCTCTTCCATTAACACTGCCTTGAGCGATCTTTTATATCCCCAGAGAACACGGCTGATGAGAACTAGGTCCCATAATTATGTTCTACCTAATGTCCGGACAAGTCGTTTTAAGTCAGTTTTTATTAATAGTTGTCTCTTAAATAGTAACTAACATTTATTTAGTCGTTGTCCTTTTTTTTTTCGCTTTCTTTTATTGATTTTATTGCTATGTAAATTGCTACACGTCTGTAAGCGCAGTGAATTATTAATAGAGACCTTTATTATTATCATTATTATTATTATTATTATTATTATTATTATTATTATTATTATTATTATTATTATCATTATCATAGCAGCTCTTCGATGGTGGGCCAACCAAGTCAGTGTAAGAGTGGTGAAAGGTGATCAAACCTTTTTGTGTTAGTAAGTATTTGGCCGGCAAAAGTTGTAGTTTATGGATGTTTTCTTTAGAATTTCCAGACCATACGGCCGAGCAGTAGAACAGTTTGCTAAGTACTAGGGAGTTTAGGATTACGTACAGTACATCTTTAGAGAACAAGTGTTGTACCCTATTTATTTGAACTAATGTTGAGGTTGGGGATCTGGATCGACTCTGCCCTAACTTTCAATGACCATATCTCTAAACTGTCCTCGAGCTGCCAGTATAATCTACGTCGTATCAAGAGAATTAAACATCTTTTGGACAACAAAACACTTTCTTTAATTATCAAGGCTCTTATTTTTGGCAGGCTTTTTTATTGCTCTAGTGTATGGGGTAATACCTGCAGCAAAAACATTTCTAAGCTTCAACTTATCCAGAACTTTGCTTGCAGAATAATCCTAGGTATCAAAAAATTTGAACATGTCTCTGCTGCACGCAAATCCCTTGGTTGACTAAGCATCCGTCAAAAACTTCTATTAAATATTGTTACTATGGTTCAAAAGTGTAGGACAAATCAGGCACCTCCTTATCTTTGTAATTTATTTGTTCATGTGTGTCAGGACGCAGCACTAGAAACATGTCGCAGTTGAATCTACCTAAATGCAGATTGTCAACTGGTGAACGCTCTTTCGCCTTTCGTGGGGCAAAAGAATACAATCTACTCCCAGAAAACATTCACAACTTAAACAATATCTCAAGTTTTAAAAGGAAAGTCGCCTCCCACTTTCTTGCAAACTCGTCTTAGATTGAATCAAATTTTTGACTGTATATAAACTCATGTAAATATTTCTTGTTCTAACAGATGTAAATCTTTCTTTGGCCCCATTGTAATTTTATTATTGTATATTTGATATTGTTGCATATTACGACAGAATAGTATAGAGGAGTCGTAATTAAGTGTATGTATGTATGTATGTATGTATGTATGCATGCATGCATGCATGCATGTATGTATGCATGCATGCATGCATGCATGCATGTATGTATGTATGTATGTATGTATGTATGTATGTATGTATGAGGTGAGTGAAGCGATATGGCCATTGAAGGTCAGGTTCGAGTCAAGTGTGACGCTAAGGTCCTTGACAGAAGTTACAGGTACTAGGTCTTGACCAAGGAAAGGTACGGTGATGTTACTGGGCAACTTGGAGATGAGTTGCCTCACCCCAAAAAGGACAAACTTGTTTTTTTTTTCAGGGTTGATCAAACAGTGGTTAGTGCAACACCACTCTGAAACATGTTTGAGATCCTCAGCAACTTTGCGTAGACATTAATCAATGTCCTTTGACATGAACGAAAAATATATCTTAGTGTCGTCAATGTATGATTCGGTGTTTCTAAACTTGATGACTTCGGGTAGTATGGTGGCCCATTAGGGCCATAGAGCTGTTTATATCTTTCCTATTTTTTTCTGTTCTTTCCCTTTATTTTTCCGTTTCTTTCTTTTCAATTTTATTTTTATTATATATATTTAGTCTTATTTTCTAACTGTAATTATTTTGCAACAAAAATGAAATAAATGAAAAGCAAAAATAACAAATAAAATAAAAGTAAGCCGATTTTTTTCTTTTATTTAGAAATTAAAAAAAATTGCACGTGGCCCATGAAGGCCATAAGCCCACAGAGGCCATAGCCCATCAGGCATTTCGACTTTAGATATTCCACATTGCACTTAACAATAGTGATTGTGTTTATGCCATGTGCCAAACACTATCGGTGATTTTACAAAATGTCCCAAGTGCAAAAAGCAGGATTAGGATGCGTTTAGAGCGAGAGTAGGCAAGAAAAGAACAGCGAACAACAAAGCAGAGTCAAAGGGATTGGAATTTCTAACAGTGCAATGCCCTTCCTCATCTGTTGAAGGCAAGTGCCAAAAATATTCAGTCAGCACCCGCGAGCCCAAGCAAGGCTGTGGGAATAAAAGATAGAAATCCTCCCAAACCATCCATAATGCCTGCATCCATGCCGTTACGTGTAATGTTAAGGCTTGTAAAGGTAATTACTTCTAAAACTGTTTTTGTTACTTTGACACTTTGCGCACCTTCGTGTTTATTCGCTCATAAAGTTCTTTACTGATAGCTGTGGACTGCAGGTCTGCATTTCCTTCAATGAGGCTCTTTTGGGACTTGTCTTTTTTCTTAATTTCTTGACCTTTGAAATATTCTTTTGGTTTTTTACTGGTAGTTGCTGCTCAGTTGATTTCAGTTTTTTAATTTTTGTGGGCTTATTTTTTGGTGGCTTGTACTCGTCTTGGTCTGAGCTTGATTCTGACCCTGTGTCGCGGCTAAATGATTCCTCTGAGGCAGAGAATGGCATAGATGATTGCTTGCAGTTTCTTGGTGCAAATGTCTTGGTTTCTGCAGGCAGTTCTTTGTTCTGTTTGTGAACCATTAATTTATTTCTGCATTTAACGGTGTCAAGATTTCTGGCTGAATAAGAAGTCTGCTCTCCCGGTAAAGGCTTCATCACTCTTTCAGTAATTTTGGCGACATTGTTACCTTCTTCAAATGGGACTGTGGCGTAGTTGAGTAATTTTGTTGGTGTCTTTTGCGTTCTGCCCTCTTCTTGTTTATTTCTACTTGCTCTCTGTTGGCTTTAAGACGATTGATAAACAGCACACAATCCTTCTTCATACCTTGCATTAGACATTCACCATCATAGTATTCTTCTTTCAGATTTCTGAAAGAATTCACGACGTCCCATCTAACTGCCACTGTTCCAAGTTCAGACAAATTGTCAGCGTCTTCACATTTCTTTATTCATGAGTTACGGCGCTCGAGACTTGTTATTTTCCTTGTTGGGGAAGTCCACAACATAAAATAGTGCCATTGTGATTTCTGTCACAGAGACTGTGAGAATCGCTCATTTGAGTATAATCGTCGAGTTGATGTGGGAGTAGATGTATTCGTTAAAATATTCTTACTCATAAACTTTAAGCTATAAAGGAGCCATGGAAAGGTCACCTGAATTTTTTTTTTACTTTGGACACAGTTGTTGGAGAAGGTATGCCCAAAATAAAAGACAGTAATGACCGTATGGTGGAAACAGGGAAGCAAGCAATTGAAACAGGTTCTTGTGATAACTGTGGCAGTGTTCCTCATTTAAGCGGAGCTGAACAAGAAAACCATCAAGGCAGCTTAACTACTATTACAGAAGGACGACAAAGGAGGAAAAGAGAAACTATGTGCCATACAGTGAGTAAGGGAGTCCATCGTGGCATCTGAAGAGATACTACACGCGAGGAAGGGCTTTAGAGAAAACCACAGAAACCGCAGCAGATCTCATAAGTACACGCTGTGCATATGCCGATGTGGGCGATGGTCAAGGCTACGACATTTGGTTAGATGTTAAAAGGGAATGCATTGATCAGACCAGTGAATCAGGGGAAGATGAGCCCTTGCAGTACTGGTCAGAAGAATGATTGTTTCATTCGTCCTGAAACACAATTTGAGCAAAAATGCCCGGCAAGACCTTCTTCACGTTATTGCAATACTACTTGGCAACTGTTGTGGAGAAGTGTTGAAATCAGTTTACGAGATGAAAGTTTTTCTTAAAAACTACTTTGGATGTTGAACCAACAGCAATACGATACTGTGCCAGCTGCTTAAACCTGTCAAATCATGGCAACTGTAAAATGCTGCACTGTTCGGGCAAAGGAGTTAACACATTTTTAAAGGTATTTTTCAAGGACTCTGAGTCGGGAAAATTCATTAGAAAAGGAGAAGAACAAATGAAAAATTATCTGGGCCGGAAAATACCTGACATTTATCATGGACTAGATTATTTTAACTTTCCTTTGCCAGGTGGATTTTTGACTGGAACGTTTAACATTTCATTTGCTGTTAATACTGATGGCCTGTATATATTATGATTAATGAACTTCCCAAGGAATATTGCTTCAAAAGAAATACATCATACCAGCATGTATATACTGTGACAAACATGATCCAAATATGGTAACATTAACATCCCTTAATGGATAAACTAAGCGCTCTTCATGAAAAGGGAATAGACATTTAAGGATAAAGCTAAAGGTCATATCAATGTTCGATGTCTCCCTTTTGTTGTCACGGCAGATCTGGCAGCACATGCTGACCTCATGAATATGAAGCGCTTCAATGCAAAATGCGCCTGGGATCTTTGCAAAAATGAGCGAAAAGGATATTGACTTACTAATCTTCACCATTGCTGGCCATTCCAAGAAAACGAACAGTAATATCATAAAGATCAATTGTCCTACGCCGCTACTGCCTCACAAAAAAAGGCACTCATGGGTGTTAAAGGTCACTTAGTTTTCTCTAAGCTCAATTATCCCTCTGATCTAGTGTTTTCTTTTGCTGTTGACTGGATGCATTGTGTTTCACTGGGATATGTCAAGTACGTGATGACACTCTTGACACAAGACAAAACCAGATCATATTTCACTGGAACTGCTGGTAGGATGAAAATTCTTTCCGATAGGCTGCTTGCCATCAAGCCTCCTGATATCGTGGGTAGATATCCTGTGCACTAAATTAACACACTGGTAAACTACTGAACTGAAAAACTGGTTATTACACTAATCCTAATAGTAATGCATTCTACCTTACAGCCTTTGTACCTATTGCACTGGTCCCTTCTCCTGGGGGCAGTAGGAATTTTGACATCCGATTTTATTGGTCCAAATGACGTAAAAGAGGCTGACGCAGTGTTGCAAGATTTTGTTCTCCTAAAGGCTACGTTGTATGTACCATGAACATTCACATTTTACAGTACTTGGCCAGTTATGTTGCCAGATGCGGTCCCATCTGGGCTTATAGTTGTTTAGTGTTTAAAAATATGAATGCTTGTGTGAAGCGCCTTGTCCATGGAACTCACCATCCTAAAGAACAAATAGGATGTACCCTGGGCCTTTGTTATGCGATGACAGAGTTTATTAAGCAAAGTCTTAAAGAAAAGACATTGCCTAAAAAGGCAAGAACTGTGTTAAAACTGTGTTACAAAGACTAGAGGAAAAAGTCAGGCATCCCTTAAAATTGCAGAAGGATGTTTTTCTCAGAAAAATGCGGCAAAAGCACCCGATGTGGATAACATTCTTACCATGGCACGAGTTTATTTCATTGTTAACAACTGCCAAGAAGGTTATGATAACAAAAACCTTGAGATATTTTACATATCTAAAATCAAATATGGGCAGAGATTTAGCTCTATTATGTATGAACGGGCAAGAAAGACGGACTGTTCTGTCAGTGAGTATACTAGTCGAGGTGGATATATTTCTTCTGCTCAAATTCATTGCTTCTTGCGATTTAACCAAGTTAACCTTCGCGCTTGCTACGAATTTAGGCCGGTGGAGAACAGCAACTCTCTCTTCATATTTAATGACATACCTGTTCCTAATGATGTTGTTAAGACAGGTATAAAAAGAATTCTTATGACAAGGGTCACTGACAAGTATGTTCAAAAGGAAATTGTCAAACATCAAGTAGTCGTGGAACTGTGAGTGCTATTTATGGGCTCGATTGATGATCAAGATCACGATCGCTATGATTGAGCTTTTCGATCGGTGGTTGAGAATGAAGATCTTAGTGGTTGAAATTATCGAATGATTAATGACAACCACGATCGCTATTATCTAAACAGAGTTTGTATACTAGAAACACAATCGCTGTGGGGAAAGGAAGATCGGTAATGAACTCTGAAGAACTAAAGGACTGGAAAGAAGACGTGTCGATTGGGGATCTAGAATGTCAAATGCAACGATTGATATTATCGCTTTTGGGGGTGACAATCAAAGAGAACTGGAAACAAGTGGGGATAAATCATGTTCTTTAGATCAAGTAGAATGTAAAGAGGGATTGAAAGTGAGCTGAGATGATGGCCACCGACGGACATACTGAAGATATTAACAAATTTCTTTCGTCCTTGGGACATTGTTACGAGGACCCCGATAAGGCTTTAAAAGATGAATGCAATTCTGTCTCTCTGGACTATACAGAAAGCTGACTCGAGGATCACCTTCAAATTGTCAATGCAATTGCAATTGCTATACAAGATTACGGCGGTGATGAATTAAAGCAGCTTGTTTCAAACCTACAGACGTTTTCTCAAACCTTGTATGAAATCTATACCAGTAAGGTTCAGAGAGAGGCAAGCAGTGTTAAGTCAGCAGCTTGGGTATGTCAGTGGTATGTGGGTATGTGTTGGGTATGTCAGTGGTGGTTTGCGAGCTCGTGGTATTTTTGTCAAAGACACCGAATAAGAGAAATTCTTACAACGATTGATCCAGCTGGCAGAGCACTGCGTAGGAGGACTGCTATTCAAAGCAGGCGGTACAATGTCAGAGCTTCTAATCATATGTGGCGCATTGACGGCAACCATAAACTGGTCAGTTGGAGGTTTGTTGTACATGATTGTACAGATGGCTATAGCAGGGCAATTGTATACTTAAAGTGTGCACTTAACAACTTGTCATCTACAGTCTTACGATATTTTATTGAGGGAACCCATGAGTTTGGATTGTCTCTGCGTGTGAGGGTTGACCATGGAGTCGAAAATGTTGAGGTTGCAAGGTTTATGGTTGAGAGGAGAGGTGTCAATCGAGATACTTTTATAGCAGGACGTAGTGTTTACAATGTCAGAATTGAGAGACTTTGGCGGGACATGAACAGGTTTGTCTCATGAGATAGGTTCCTGATCCTTTATATGGTGATGGGAACTCTGGTATTGATCTCTATGTTGACTTTTTGTAGAGTAGATATACAAAAGTTGGCATGTCACCAAGACATTACTAAGTCATAACTTTAGGCTAACTTTTCCAACATCCATAAATAAAAGGTGAGGGTTTCTTACCCTTAGCATGAAAGATATGCAATAGTGTATAACCAATAGAGAATTAAATAATAGTAAATCATGTGCAAAACATCTGTTAGTAGAAACAACAAGGACATTTCAGGTACTTTCTTGAAGGGAAGGTATGGCCAAAATTTTTAATATACATGTAGTAACTTTGCTTGTTGCTTTTATGTTCACAATACTCCAGGGGCACCCAGCTTTTCTGTAACATATCTGTTAGAAGAAGCAAATACTGTCTATAATTTTCTTTTGCTTGAGGATCGCTAAAAATTTATAGATGAACGTTCCATTCATGTACAGTTTTCGGAGCTTATCTAATAAATTCCTTACGATTTTCTTAAGTTCAATTTTTCATATTTTACTACCCAGGTCATTCTATTCTTCTTAGAAAAAGGGAACCTAACATTTTCTGATTCTAAAATGTGATGGACAGAGGAATCAGGAAAATTCTCACTTTCGTAAAACGTTAAATTGCACCTGAAATTTTCGAAAAAATAATATTGAAGCCCTTGTAATTTCGAAAAGACTCAAGTTCCCATAGGATGACCAAACACATAAAAATTTTGTAGCACCACTTAGAATGCATTTCTAGAGATCTAAAAGTACTCTGGATAGCCTAAAAAGTGTTTTCATCGTATTTTGGAGGAAACCCTCGTTGGATGCCCCTTATACTTGTCATCTGTGACTACAAGCATCAACAAAATGCTTCCAATCATCAATAATGGAAATAAAAACAGGCCCGTAACCAGGGGGGTGAAAGGGGTGCGTTCGCACCACCCCCTCCCACAGGCCCCAAGGGTCCGCATTTTGATACTCAATATCCAAGTTAAGGAGTGCAGAGTGCAGTCGGTTAAACTGAAGTTTCAAACTTAACAGTGATATTTAAACAAAATCAAAGAATGGAAAAAGCAGTAGTGTATTCACTGGGAAAATAAAACCAGCTGCACT